TGGACAATATACTAAATTATGTTTTGATTAAATCTGAATCTTAACTTAACAGACTAAGGAATCTCAAAGTATCAGTTCTAATTCTCAATTGTTGTTTGATGGTTCTAGTGCTGTCAATTATAAAGATGATATGGTTGTCTTTGTTGATTTTCCATGACTTATTTGTTGGTACTAGGGCATTACTTCTATATTGTAACAGCCCAAGCCCACCGCTAGCAGATATTGTCCTCTTTAGGCTTTCCCTTTCGGGCTTCCCCTCAAGGCTTTTAAAACGTGTCTACTAAGGAGAGGTTTCCACACCCTTATAAACAATGATTCGTTCTCCTCCCCAACCGATGTGGGATCTCACATTTATATTTCTTGTACTGAACCTGCATGAAAGAAATCTGGTTTACCAGATCTCCAAGCAAGGCATTCTATAGAATCTAATCCAATCTTAAATCATACAGCTGGGCAGGAGAGATTCAGAACATTGACTAGTTCATACTACAGAGGCGCTCAAGGGATCATCATGGGTGTGTTCTATTCCCCTTTTTATGTGATTGTTTTAAGGAAATAAAAATTCTTGGCAAAGTATAAATATTAAATATCCTAGATGTGTTTAGTTTAAAAGGTGTTCATTATGTTTTCAAATTCGAAGTTGGTCATTTGTTTGGCTGTCCAATATTATTCTACTGCCTTCTGTGTTGTTGTCTTGATTATGACATCAAACGTTAACTGTTTCAGTTTATGATGTAACGCGGAGGGAGACCTTTACAAACCTCTCTGAGGTATGGGCGAAGGAAATAGACCTATATTCAACAAATCAAGATTGCATCAAGATGCTTGTGGGGAACAAAGTCGATAAGGTATGCATCTTCAACTTTCATTTGAAATTTTCTATAAGCCTGAAGCTGGTTCCTGTAACATTTGTATAGATGCTGGTTAATTGATCGTGTTCGGTGAACTGAAATTAGTGTTCCGAAGAACTTTCAGGTTAATTACTAATAACCATTTGATAATTTAAGAGCCGATTAAGTGAGTTATGAATAGCTATGCTTTTTCCATAAGGGTGTGTTAGGTATCCAAGCGGTTATATACTATTATGAAAAAACTTTGAAGAGTGTCAAGACACCTTAATAATGAAATCTAGACACTAGGCTGACTCATCTCCAAGCACAAAGGCCAAAGCCTTTCCTAAATTACATGTATGTTCTCAAACTCACGTCCCTCCTGCAAACTATACCAAACTCGTACTCTTAACTAACTGTCATAAGAGATACATTCTTTGTAACAACCCAAGCTCACTACTAGCAGATATTGTCTTCTTTGGGCTTTCTCTTTCGGGCTTCCCCTCAAGGTTTTTAAAATGCTTCTACTAGGGAGAGGTTTCCACACCTTATAAGGAATGTTTCTTCTCCTCCCCAACCAAGGTGGGATCTCACATTCTCCTTGTCCATTTTGCTCTTCCTAGTATAGACATATATTATTGGAGGCCTAACAAAGTTTTTTGGAATGTATGAACTCGAGATTGGAAATTCACTCCCAAGTGAATTCCAAGGTTTGGAACAAAAAATTATATTTCCTTGCAAGATTTAGGAAGCCATTAGATATTTCATCTTAGTTTCTTTATATCTTATTGAAAAAAAAAAAAAAAATCAATTGGTAAAACAGAGACCATGATCCTTCTGATTTCAAATCCAAATCCATTAATAATATCATTAATTACAAACGTAGTTATAGGTTATTTGTTTTCTTAAATGTCTTTCTAATGAAGTGAGGTTCAGGTATAAATCCAAAATAGTTTATTAAGTGCAATATTGAACATTCTTAATTAATTTTGTTTAAGTTTCTGATGGTGGAGTTCAGTTGATTTTTTAATTACTAAGGAGAAAACAATTCTACGGCTTAACCTGTTTAGAGACTCAGTTTGGTGTTTATGTCTTGAAATGAATGGCTTAACCTTCTTTTTTTAGTCTTTCTTGGTTTAAAGTTTATGCTCCCTTCAGACCATAGAGTTTATCTTTGTAACTTTGGGTTCTTGGATTTCATCCACTCTTTTCTGTAATTTCATTCCACGATTGAAGTTATTTTTTCTCGTAAAAAGCAAAAAAGAAATCATGGATTCTTATACAATATGAAGTCCTTGTGTTGAAGGTTTCGTTCAAACCATTGTTATGGCTTTAGAAATCAGCTCAATTAAAGCCTAGGGAATGAATTCGCTTGAATTTTTTTTTTACTCAAATTAGTTCCAAACCCAGCCTTCATGTTGACTATCCATTCATTTCAATGACTTTAATTAGGTCAAACCCTTTCGACGGAATTATTTTCCCATTTCCCTGTAAGGAAGATTTAGATGAACATTTCAAATTAATACTTCTAAATGTTTTAATTGGCTCATATATATTTTTTTTAACAAGAAACCGAATGTTCGTTGGGAAGAACCTAAGAACAAAATGGCATGTCCAACATACCCTAAATGTGAAGTGAGGTTTAGTGAAATTCTTTTGATCTCTATTCTCTTATGATATTGTTCTTCATATCTGTATCCAGCTTAGTTTTTATCTGTATTTTCTTCTTCAGGAAAGCTTTTGATCTGTATTTTCTTCTTCAGGAAAGCTTTAGGACAGTAACAAAGAAAGAGGGAATTGACATGGCTAGGGAATGTGGTTGTCTTTTTACAGAATGCAGTGCCAAAACTCGAGTTAATGTACAACAGTGCTTTGAAGAACTTGTTTTAAAGGTAATAGTATTAGTTCAGTACTTCTAGTTTATTTTTTGGTCAAAAGATCCATATTGATTGGTGACTGTCAGGAACGAGGTGTTTCCCCTGTTGTAACAACCACATCTTTGATAGTTCTCGAACGAAAATTGCTGTCACGTTCCTGGTAGATTCATAAATAGGTTGAGACATCTATGAGAGTTGCTAGGCAGTGGAAGAATTTTGAAACCTCTCGAAAAGTCGCGCTTTAACAATGATTATTCCTCTTCTTTATCCTACGAACTTACTGAATGTTGCATGGACGAAAAAACGTGATAATAATGATTCTTATGTGCAGATTCTTGAGACGCCCAGCCTTTTATCTGAAGGCTCTAAAGGTGTGAGAAAGAACATCTTCAAGGAAAAGCCTCCACAGCCTGATTCAGCCGCGAGCAGTTGTTGCTGAAATCGGTTCATTGTCTCTAACTACATTTGCTGATTTTTTTCTAAATTATTGTAAAATTATAGTAGAAAGGTATGGTGTTACAGCTTTTATTGTATCTCACAAATTACGGTACAAATTAAATCTGTTCTTGTCTTCTGGGCTGGCTTTCTTGTACAGGGAAAAATTGGAAATGGAAACATAACATTACATGATATTGGGTTAAGAGCCTGCTTGTTTAAAGCTTATTCAATTGTTGTTTTTATATATATATATATAGTAGATAGTTATATATAGTAAACTGAATCATATATATACCTTGTAGAGAGTGGTGTGAAAATGTACTTTATGCGTTATTCAATGCAGATCTTTAGCCAATATTCCTCTTTACATTTTCTCTCTCCGGTTCTTTGTGTTTATCTAGATTGAGTGTGTGCTTTGTTGTGCGATCCTAACACATTATTCAGTCTTCCTTGTTTCAATTTAGACGTTATCCTCAGAACTTTTGTTCATTTCTTTTCATTGAGTCTTAGATGCATTATGACTGATAGATGGTTCTTTTCATTGAGTCTTAGATGCATTATGACTGATAGATGGTTCTTGTTAATGTTAGAGCTGGGCAGTTGGAAACATGTGCCACAACGGCAGGTATTCAATTGAAGAGTAAATCGGCCAAGGTCGAGTCCGATGTGAGATCAAAAGAAAGTTGAGTTAGGATTTGGGCGATAGGGAAGAACTTTTGGTTGTATAATCATATAATTTAGAGGTCTAGTAAGTTAGAGCTTTTTTTTACAGGTTCTTGGAAGGTAGCTGCTAGATATGTGTGAAAATCTCTTGACGGGTCTCTTTTTGTTCAACTTTTGAAGTTGGTGAATGGTGGGATTAAAGTAAAAGCTGCTGCTTTAAACGTAGTTAAGTAGTAGGAGATTAGTAAACACATGGATGAAGACTAATACAAAATCTTACTCATTTTTACTTGATCAATCCTTTCCTCCATCCCATCTAGACATGGTTTAGGTGCGATAGTGGAGATCATGTGAGATCATTAGAGATAAACCATTCTTAAAGTTAAAGAGTTTCAGAATTTGAATATTCTCATTGATTTATGAAACATTTGAGTTCATTCTCAAACGGGATTTTGTTGAATATGTTGAAAAGGTGAACAAAGTGAATTTAACGGTGGAATGTAATAAGATCAAAGATTTTTTTGTTGTGCTTTGGAAACAACGATATTTGGATATGTTCATCAGGTGGGATGGGGAAGCCTTCCCGTTCCTAACCTCGCTTCTATTTCAAATCTCATCATTCTAAAAATTTTCATTTATTTTCGTGGAGATCAAGGGTTTTATAAGAAAATATATATATATATATATATATATATAGTGTTGAAGATAGTATAGAGAGAGAGCGAGGTGGGAATTTAGTAGTGTTGGAGATGGGGTATATAATCTTTGTCCCCATTTAACAAGGAGAAATTTCTTTCCATTGTCTCCCTCATTTTTTCTCCCCACTGTCTCCCTCATTTTTTATGTCTCCATTTAGCTAACGAGAAGAAATCTCTCTTCACTCCCTCTCTCTCTCATTTTCTATTTAAACGAAAATTCACCACCACTTCATCTTCCCACTGTCTCCCTCATTTTTTCTCCCCACTGTCTCCCTCATTTTTTATGTCTCCATTTAGCTAACGAGAAGAAATCTCTCTTCACTCCCTTTCTCATTTTGTATTTATACGAAAATTCACCACCACTTCATTTGGAGTGGGTCCTCACGGGACCCCGATCACATATGTTAATATCTCTAATAAAAATTCCGCACCTTTTTGTTCCTTAAAAATTCATAGAGAGATATTTAGAAATTTGATTCTAAAACGATATCTCAATGGTTAAGGCAATCTATATTGAAAATATGAAAATAAGGCTGAAGTTTTGCCACCAAAATCAACAGCCATGCCCATGGCGTCTCCAACTGCGAGGCCACTGATTCCCCATCTCCTCTTTCCCTCTTCTTCCACAAACCCTAACCCTAACCCCAACAAACCTTCAAAACCCATCTCATCTCCTCGATTACCCACCAGACGTTTGCTTCTCTTCTCCCTCCCCATCGCCACTGCCCTTCTCCTCCCAATTCCGAGCAATCCAATTCAGCCCAGTTCTTGCGACGCTCTGGAAAGATTTGACCCTGTCAGCCGTTCTGAGCGAGAAGCGAGTGCCGCTATTTCCCGAAGAGTATCTGAAGCTGTGGAGCTTCTTGATAAAGGCAGGGAGTTGCAAGCTCTTGGTGATTTCAATCAAGCTCTTCTCTACTTCACTCAGGTTTCCACTACTTTTGCGACTTTTATCATATGATTTTAGTTTTCGTGCAAATGTGTTTTCATAGTTGTGCTCATTGATTCGGTTTCCATTACTCTGTTTGAGGACTTTGAATTCCCAAATTGGGAAGATAATGAGTTTATAAGTAAGGAATACTATCTCCACTTACATGAGGCCGTTTGGGGAAACAAAAAAAATAAGGTCACGGAGCTTATGCTCAAAGTGGACAATATCATATCATTTTGGAGAGTCGTGATTCCTATCACGGTATGAGAGTCATGCGTTAACTTAGCCATGTCAATAGCATCCTCAAGTGTCGAACAAAAAAGTAAGCCTCGAAGGTGTAGTCAAAAGTGACTCAAGTGTCGAACAAAGGGTGTACTTTGTTCAAGGGCTCCAAAAGGAGTTGAGCTTTGTTTAAAGGAAGGCTGTTCGAGGACTCCATAGGCTTCTAGGGAGGCTCTATGGTGTACTTCGTAGGAGGAGAAGATTGTTGAGGATTCTTGGAAGAGAAGTCCCACATTGGCTAATTAAGAGAAAGATCATGGGTTTATTATAAGTAGAATATTATCTCCATTGGTACGAGGTGTTTTGGGGAAACTAGAAGCAAAACCATGAAAATTTATGCTCAAAGTGGATAATATCATACCACTGTAGAGGTATATGATTCCTAACCGTTAAGTCTTGATTGGCCTAACCTATATAAACATTGTTCAGCTGCAGTTTAGACATCGTGAAAAATTTAAGTATTAAGAAAAATTAATATGCTCGGGCTGAGGCTTAGTGTCACAGTCGCACTTTTCTTGGCAACGGATTTGACGATTGTGCCGCACTCACTCCCAACACTGAGTGAGTCAAGTCAACTTAAGATCGCGTCGCCTACGGCCAGGTAACATATGCTCAAGCCTTTGGCCCCATTTTGAGAAGAAGGTTTTAGAAAACCGAGACAGAGAGATTTTGAAAGAGAGTTTGAAAGCAATATTGAGAGAAATTGAAAACAATGTTACATGACTACAAGCAAAAGGAAACACAACGGCTTAAATAACATATAACTTTTCAGGTAGGGAGAATTTGACAACTAGTTGCATCCCCCTATATTACATTTTAAGGTGATTCAGGTCTAGTAGGCCTAGATGTGATTTCGCCGAACGGTCGTACAAAATCTAGGTGAGAGGAGCTGACGACTAGTTGCGTCCCCCTATAGTACATTTTGGGGCATTTTATGTCTATCAAGCATAGACATGATTCTACCGAACTGTCCTACATTTAGAAAATTGAATAAGGAAATTATACATCATGAAAGCAGTAAAGTAAAACAATAAAGTGATAAAAAAACAAAGGTTTAGGCATGCCACGGTATGTGGCCATGGGCAACATGACTTGGACAATCTTGGCCGTGACACTTAACATGCATTCAAGTGGGCATGATCAGAATTTGATCGGGTTTGCTGTAAACGAGAAATGAAGAACCTGCCCACCTCTACGCTCTAAGAACCGATATGCCTTGTTTTGAAACTCCTCTCTTAATTGCAATTGAGAATTTCTAACTATGGATTGTGCTTCCACTATGTATAACAAGTCATTCATGACTTGAAACGAGGACTTAACTGAACATCAGAGATTTTTGATTATCCAGATAGAACTGTGAGATCTCACGTCGATAGATGTGTTTTAAAAATTTTGAGGGAAAATCCGAAAGGAAAAGTCCAAAGAGGACGATATCTGTTAGCGGTGGGCTTGAGCTATTACTAGAAGGCTTTAGAATTCTTTCGTTTTGAAGCTCATTTTCAATCTACATCCCTTGTTTTGTTGAGAGAGAGTTAATTAGTCTTTGTTCTTGTGTAATTTCAGGTAATTGATAAATATAAAGATTTTGCCTTCTCGGACTATGCTCGAGTAGGCCGAGCATTCGCCCTGTATGAAATTGGTGACCGAGAAGAAGCAATTGCAGAGATGGAGGATGTTTCCATATCACTGAAGGGATATCCAGGTAACTTGAATAGATTTTCCACAACAGTTTTAGCTAGAGAAATGAACTTTCTCATACAATGAACAAGTGATTGAACATTATGAGAATATGTTATTTAATGATTCTTCACACAAAAGTTGCATCAAATTTATGAAATTTTGAGGCCACAATTGCAACTAAGTTTAAGGTCAAATAGGATGAATTTGAGAGTTCGAGGTAAAAAAAGGATACACATCTCAAAGTTAGTTGTCATGATTGAGGTGTACGATTATGAGACATGGATACTTACCTGACACAGAGACTATGAATGTTGTTCTTAGAAAATCAAGGGCGTGGACATGGAACAATCACGTTTATTAGTATTACATTCTTATATCATTTTTAAATAATGTCTCTCAGGTCCGAGCCATGAGGCTCACCCCGGAGCCCCGGGTATAGGGGAGAAAAACTTCAAAGCTCGATTATAAAAAAAATCAATAGTTTATACATTCATTCATATATTTAAAACGAGTTTGATGTATTTCACTCTCAAAATATCGAGTGAAATTCGGAATGCTCTCGAGAGGCCAATTATATGGTAAGCCATCTAGAACTTAAAGAATCATACAGTAATACTTGATGAGAAATATTCCTTGGTGTCTCTTCTCTTGTAATACTAGCATTGATGTATCAGTATATTATTTTGCAGAAGTGCATGCGGCACTGGCTGCAGCCTTATACGTGGATAAACATGCTCCATTGCTGGCTGAAAACCAATTCACCATAGCAACTTTGCTTGATCCTCATTATGTGGATATCTCGTATGTGAAAGAAACAAAGCACTGGCCTCCTAGTTTAATTAGTTCTTTGAAGAATTTCTTAACACTTTCTTAGACATTTGTAATAATGTATAATACATACAACTCAATTCCTTGTTTTCTAAGTGTACAAAATGTATCATAGTCTATAGATAACTCTACAAACCCATGCAAGTAGTAGAAAAATAGTTTATTTTACGTCTCTTATCCCTTCAAATTGTAATATGAATTGATTTTCTTTCATTTGATCTTGCCCATTGCTTATCCTCATTCACGTTTGTTCGTCAGCTATTCAGTTTACTTTCTTGTGGATCTACCATTGAATGTCGAAGGTGTAGTCAAAAGTGACTCTAGTGTCGAACAAAGAGTGTACTTTGTTCGAGGACTCCAGAGAAGGAGTCGAGCCTCGATTAAGGAGAGGCTGTTCGAGGGCCCCATAGGTCTCAGGGAAGTCTCTATGGTGTACTTTGTTCGAGGGGAGAATTGTTGAGGAGGGAGTCCCACATCGGCTAATTTAGGGAATGATCATGAGTTTATAAGTGAGGAATACTATTTCCATTGGTATGAGGTCTTGTGGGGAAGCTCAAAAGCAAAGCCATGAGCGCTTATGTTCAAAGTGAACAATATCAAACCATTATGGAGGTTCGTGATTCCTAGCCACTATTATATGATTGTTGAATCTATTAGGAACATAATTGTTGAATCTATTAGGAACATTACAGTGGAAGGCTTCAATTTTTTTCATGTTATTGGCCTAATCCATGAAGTTGAATGGAAAGTTGAGGTGGATAGAGATGGATAATGGAGATAGCAAAATTGCTGTCAGTTATTTAAGGTTGATTGACCCCTACTAGAAAATGGAGGTCACCATTTAGGAAAGCTTTTCTTTCACGCTGAAAAGTCTTTGCTAATGCTTTGATATTAACTTTTGAAATGACTAGGCCACAATGCTTTGTCCTCGAGTTCTTTAAGATCTCTTGTGGGTCCTCGTATTAATAAAGAACTCTCTCTTTTACGGCCATTTTAGTGTTCATAACATGCTTTCACAAACAAATTTCTTCTCACTTCTTCAAGAAAGTTCACAGAAGATATTGCATTCTCTTTCTCATTGTTCAATTATTTGTAGTTGTGATGTGCTTTTTGGGAAGGAAAAGTCCCATCAGAAAGATGCAGGGGTTCAGAATTCAGGAAAAATGCCATCGTTGACAGGCAAGCTGGAAGAAGTGCTTCCAGCAAATTGAGTGGGCCATTCAAGCATGTGCCCTGCCTCTGCCTTTCTAAACCACATGTAAATCTCTTCGGTTGCTGATACTATTATTAAGTTGGAAGTATTGGACACTTGTCATGATTTATTAATAAGGTGTATCGTGATATTTACAGGCTTTCAATTCTGAACCTCCTATTGGACATGGCAGACTTGATCCACACATCATCAATGGCTGTGATTCTGCCTCAGGTTCACTTAATCTAATCTGCTTTATTGATTCTCTTGTATCAAATCAAATTATACCAAATTTTGGATTGTGAATGTAACCGCTAATGCCCATCGCTAGCAGATATTGTCTTTTTTTGGGCTTTCTCTTTCAGGATCTTTTTGGAGGTTTTTAAGACGTGTTTTCTAGGGAGAGGTTTTCACACCCTTATAAATAATGCTTCGTTCCCCACTCCAACTGATGTGGGATCTCACAATTCACCATTCTTCAAGACTCAGCATCCTAGCTGACACTCGTTCCCTTCTCCAATTGATGTAGGATCCCCAATCCACCCCCTTTCGAATTAGAACAAGACACCAGGCAATGTGCTAGTGCGGAGGTGGGGCTAAGGGGGTGGACACGAGGCAGTATGCTGGCCGAGAAATTGGAGGGTCCCACATCAATTGGAGAAGGGAACAAGTGCTAACGAGGACGCTAGGCCCAGACGGAGGGTGGATTGTGAGATCCCACATCTCTTTGGAGTGGACACGAGGCAGTATGCTGGCCGGGGTGGGGGGAATTGGAGGGGTCCCATATCAATTGGAGAAGGGAACGAGTGTCAACGAGGATGCTAGGCCCAGACAGAGGGTGGATTGTGAGATCCCGCATCGTTGGAGAGAAGAACGAAGCATTCTTTACAAGGGTGTGGAAACCTCTCCCTAGAAAATGTGTTTTAAAAACATCGAGGGCAAGCCCGAAAGAAAAAACCCAAAGAAAACAACATCGGTTATCAGTGAGCTTGGGCGGTTGATTGACGAGAAAGGCAGGTATATTATAAGTGTTTTCAGATGCACATAATGATACTGAAATGCATTTGCATGTGACTATAAATCTCCAATGACTGAATGTTTCTATACCTGATGATGTACCCTATTAGATATTTCTTCTATAGCCAATCAAATTTGCAGGCTATAATGTATAGATTCACATTTGAAAGGGAAAAAAAAAGGCTGAGGGGCATAGAATATTATTATCACACCTTACATATTCCTTTTGTCCTCAACCCACTTGGATCTAAGAAGCTTTAGCAGAATTCTCGCCTTTGTTTTGGTCTTTGCACAGCACTGACTCTGCAATAGCAGAAGCAATTGACTCAACACTCCACCTCTAATGGCCTCTTCCCTTGCTTCCACTGAATCATAACACAATATTATAAGTGATCCAACAGCACTTTCACTGCCTCCAAGATCTGATACTCTAAAAACCATCTTCACAATAGCATTCACACCATTTGGATTATTTACCACTTCCACTTTTGCACTTCTCATGGCTAAAAGTTTCTCAATTGCTGCCATTGCCACTCTTGCAGAGCTTCTTTCTCTTTGTTGAGCATTAGAAATGTACGTAATAAGCCCTGTAACTGCACCTTCCACAACCAAATTATTGATGTGTTGTTCCATGTTACTTAGTGAACATATGGCTTTGGTTGCAGCATCGGATACCTCCGAGTTATGGCGTAGAAGTTGCACGACTTCACGTAAAAGCTCGGTAGCGTTTCCGAGTAAAACACCAAGATCTTTAGTCTGAACTGAAGATGAAATTGCCTCAACCAGCTGACATAAACTGATCTTGATGGTGGCAGTGCCATGACTAAACAAAACCATGAACCTTGATAGTTTAGGCTCCTCCATTAGCATATTTAGGGACTGTATCTGATCAAGAGAAACCATAGAAACCACGAAACTAAGCGCTTGCTCTACAAATTCCTGATACTCTTGTGATAGTTTAGCTTCTTCTTCTCCAAAAACCAACTCCAAAAGCACTGACAAGAACCCAAATTGGACGAAACAAGAATTACGAGAAGGAAACTGTTCACATAAAATCCTAACTCTTTGAAGAACTTGAAGCTTGTATTCATAAGAAAACTCATGAGATTCAAGTTTGGTTCTCAAAGCAGCCATGGAATCAATAGCAGAAACGCAGTGAGGGCTTATTTGGTCACCCATTTGAAGCCACTGGCTAATCAAATGGCGAAGAGTATTATTAGGCACAAAGGAAGTATCATGAAGCTTCTGCATTGTAACAGGACATGTGAGGTTCCCAGATGCCAGCCATTTCTGAATGCTGGATCTTTCATAGGTCTGTCCTGTGCAAAGGGTCACAGGATCCTTGAACAAATCCAGACTTATTGGACATCTAAACAAGTGAGGGATGGTCTCATGAGCTGCTGCTTCTTTCATGGGGAAGTACTGATATTGATCAGAGATTGTGGTGTGCAGAGTGACAGAGATCAGAAAGAGAGGCTATCCGATGAGTGTTCTTGCAAGTAATGATATGAGGAAGAAGTGTAATAAAAATTGGTCCCCATTTCCTGTGTTATGATATAGAATTCAGTCAAACTGACCCACCATGGATCAATAATAGTTATTGCCTTTGAAGTTTGAATCAACCCTCTTAATAAGAAAAAGTGGCCTAGAGAGAGAGAGAGATTTGACCAAGAAATGTTCTTATTCCATGAGAGGGAGAGAGTTTTGACAGGTATCTCGAGTCCACTACTAATAAATATTGTTCGTTTTGGTCCGTTACGTATCGTCATTAGCCTCTTAATTTTAAAATGCGTCTATTAGGGAGAGGTTCATGCACTCTTATAAAAAATGTTTCGTTCTCCTCTCTAACTGATGTGGGATCCCACGGAAATTTTCTTGATCTATAAGAAAGAGGGAGTTTTGAGTATGAAAACTCTAACTTTTTTTTTTTTTTTTTTTATATTGGGTTAGGTTGTCGAGTTGTTTTTCTTTAATTATTTAAAAAATCATACTTATTGTGAGATGAGTGTCAGCGGGGACGCTGGGCCCTAAAGAGGTGGATTGTGAGATCTCATATGGTTGGGACGGAGAACGAAACATTCTTTATAAGGGTGTGGAAACTTGTCCGTAACATACGCATTTTAAAAACCTTAAGGGGAAACTTGAAACAGAAAGCCCACAGAGGACAATATTTGCTAGCGGTGAGTTTGAGCTCTTACCCTTATCCAAAATATATCGTTAACATTGGTTACGAGACCAAGTAAATGTCAACCCGTAAACCGACTCAAGTTTTTTTATTTTTCCAAAAATTCGATATAATTTATTTTTGGTCCGTCTAGAAGGCATATTAAATGGGGAAAATCATTGAAGTAATCCACTTAGAATCCATAGTTTTTTCTTCATCGTGACATTCCATCACACATGAACAACCTTTTTGTAGCAAAGAAGCCAAAGTTTATTTGTTCACGTAAAGTGTTAGAAAAAGGAAGTCAATGTATTTTAATAAATAATAAATAGAAACACCCTGTAAATTGCCTTTTTTGTGAATTATCCCCTTATTATTATTATTTTTATCTATCTAATTTTAATTTTTTTTTAATAAGTAGAGACGGAGTTTGAAATTTAACCTAAAATCTTATAAAAAGTATGTGTGAGATCCCACATCGATGGGAGAGAAGAATAAAACGTCCCTTATTAGGGTGAAGAAACCTCTTCTTAATAGACGTGTTTTTAAAACCGTGAGGCAAACGACGATATATTGGACAATATCTACTAGCAGTGAACTTCGACTGTTACCGTGTATGATATTTAAAATTTTATATAAGCGATAAATTTCAAGGTGTAAATCAGATGGATGCAATTTAGTCTTCCTAAAATAATCCAAATTCTACCGAGGTGATCTTGTTTAAATAATGGTCAAAGATGGACGACAATGATGATGAACACAGTTGATCGAATATAATATTTTATTCAAACAAATGTCTGTTTATATTAATATAATGAAATGGTCGACATAAACTATTTATGATTTAAAAGACTAATGAATGAAAAAACGTGATTAATACTTTTTTAATAAGAAATTTTTGAATCAATGAACAGAAACGTTACTAAACGAACGTCATTTGATATCGTTTTTTTGAACAATGTGTTATTTTAGGGTATCGTTTAAGATTAAATGCATACACACCCACCCTATTTATTTGATGGGCAAATTAATTCCATCACCTTTGACTTTGGACTCTACCAAACCTCCCCCACCTCACTACCCAAAGTTTAGTCTATTATTCCTTATCTACTTGTTTTGTATGACTTTCTAAGGGAAAAAAATTGAGGTTTGTGTTGATAGAAGCTATTCATTGTATTGTTTCTTTAGGGGTAAGTCTTGTTGTGGTCCTCGAACGATCATTAGATTCATTTTATTTTGAATTTTGAACTTTTAAAAAATGTTTGTTTTTCTTTTTTCGATTGAATAGATTGAACATATGATTTGAAATCGTGTGTATTCGTTATTAGGATGAACGAATTTTAGTATATCTTAGTAGATAAGACATCAATTACCATCTTAGAAATAGATCACTGTTGCAATTATTGAACTAAAATACACAAGCATGCTAGCATGAAGGCGTTTTGAAGCTAATCTATATAGATTCCGTAAGTGGGTAGTGGGTTAGATTAGAGATGCCCATTTAACCCGCAAAACGAGGGCTCCATGGAGACCTGTCCTAAATGGGGCGGCAAAATTCTCATTTCAATGGGCAATGGGGGAGGAACCAAGAAAATATTTCTCTTCGTTAGCTAAGCGAGATTGGGGACGAAGATTATATTCTCTATCCCCGTTTCCAACCCTGACCCCACCCCATCATTATCTTCCCGGGGACTAATTCGAACCTTTTTTAATTTTAAATTTTTTTATCACAATCTGAACAAAAAAAAATCTAACCCAATCCAACATTTTGTTTGAATTGGATAGTCCAGATTGATCGGATTCTCCAATTATTTGAACAGAGTCCCAAACCGTTAACAAAATGTTGGATTGGGTTAAAAGCAAATAATATTTGCAGCATAAATCAAATTTAAAAGGGTGAGGACTAAAATATAAAAAATAAAATAAAATATTAAAACCCAAATGAGAATATTGGATTTATTTCAACCTTACTTTAAATATTAGCGTGGAACAGCTTTTAAATGGATTGAGACATTTGTTCAAATCATAGATTAATATCAATCCTACAAAATCATCCATTTAAATCTTAAAAAAATAAAAATCAAATTAGACAATTCTAACGATGTTCAAATGATCTGAGAATCCGATCAATTTGAACAATTCAATTCAAACAAAAGGTTGCATTGGATTAGATTTTTTTCGGTTCAGATTGTATTAAAAGTTTTTTAAATTCAAAAAAGTTCGAATTGGTTCACAGATTGACGTTTTTTTTTTCCGACGAACCTGAAAGATAGGGTTACAACTCAACCCTACTTTTCCATACTTTTGTGATTATTACGAAGATTAAGAATACTTGACATTTGTGATTATTTGTAAGTTTTTTTTTTGAATAATTAAAAAAAGAGAGAACAACCTGACCATCCAATCCAATCTGGATCGGGTTGGATTGTGAACTCTATTTGTGTTGTTTGGGATGATCCGAAAGATTTATCCAACTCAATCGAGCTCGGGGAAGACTTTTTTTTTTTTTTACACCCAATTTTTTATTTTAATGTCAATGTCAAAAGGGAAAGTCAAGAATATTTTAGCTTTAATGTTCCCTCAAGATTAGGTAAGTTTGGCCAAAAGATATTGGAAGAGAGGGAGAGAGAGAGAGGAGAGAGAGAGAGGAGAGAGAAAGAGAGATTGAGACTCGAAGCAACAAAAGGACAGATGAAAGAGCAATATACATAAGAATTCAAAAACAATAATTTATATTAAAAAAAAGGAAGAAAATGATCTTTGAACACAATCTTGTCGGCCAGTTGATCAGCTCGAGTTACACTCACAATAGTTTTTCATTAGATTTTGGACACTCTCCTTTGTCCTAACATTTATTAATGAGGGGTAAAAAAGACCATTTTACCCTTTCGGGGTTGATTTTGACTAATTTTTCTATTTTTTTCGTAATTTTCTTTTTAAATTTTGAGTTCGGAAAATTTTTCTGAACATTTTCTCTTCAACCTTATCTCAGCAAGTTTGGGATTTAACAGAAAAGTTGAAAAATTTTGTACATGTTAGAGTTTAGGAGTTACAAAATAATATTCTAATCTTATATTAGATGACCTCTTACTAATTTTCATACGAAAGTTGTGAATGAGGACAATGTATGCTAAAAGAAATTGTGTTGGTTTGTGGAGATAGTTTTACTTGTGTAAGTAATTTAAGACAAGTGTGTAACTGGTTAGTGGGATAGCTCACCCAAGAAAATGGGTTGCTTACTCTAAAGAAGTGCCCCAAGAGTGAGCACACATGTTCTTCGAGCTATTACCTCGTGCCTAAAGTGAGTGACTTCACAAGAGTTGTGGAGACTAGTATTCCGTCAAGAGAGAGCATCAAGATGAACATGAGCAACACAAAGAAGGTAGTTGAGGCAAGACCATAGAAGCGTCACTACAACATTTGCCACATGAAGGTGGCCTAGTTGAGAAGATGTCTAAAGTGTAGTGCCAACACGAGACTGTGTTATAAGCATCTAAACCTTGCTTCCGATAAGGGTTGTGGCCATGACGAAAAAATATCGTGATACACAAGCCCACTTTGCTGTTGTAAAGTGATGTGACCATGACAAGAGAATGTCGTGATACAGATCTCTATGCAGCTTAGAGAATCCGATTGATGAGGCCAAAGTGGCTATGTTTGGAGTGCGCTTCACCTAGCTCAAGTGAGGAATGCCAATGATAGTTTTTCTATGGTTTTTCTGGTGAGAACCGAGTTGAGTCCGAGAAGTGGGTGAGTTAGTTCCCTAGTCGAATAGCCCACAACAATTAGGTAAGTTGTGTTTTCTTATGCTTATGCTACGAGTCTCGGAGTCTGAGAGAAGGTTTGTTAGTGGCCATAAGTAGTGTGTAAGTTTCCATATTCACTCTATTGCACGATCAAGTTCAGTGGATAAAGTTAGCAGTTAGCCTAATGTTCGGATCATCATCAGGACGATGCCGAGATTAAGTGGGAGAGAGTGTCACAATCCACAATGTGATTCTACCTCCAAGTAAGTTATTGAGGACGATGACTAGTTTAAGTGGAGAATAGTGTCACAACCTCACTATGAAAATAGTAAGTTGTGATCCCCCAAACGCAGACAGACAAGGTGGCGACCCTCAAGTGGTGCCCATCCGACCACATGAGGAGCGAAACAAGACAAGTGCTATGATGCGACCGGGGAGGACGATGCATCATCCAACATACCGAGAACAGTGTGCATTAAAGCCAAGCTGAGGCATAGACAATGTTGGAGAGAACGAGGCGACATGAATATTGATGTCAAGTTCAGAGAGGGGCAAATAGGTCACAAGGCCATAACCTCAAAAATTGGAGAGGGCTAGATAGCATGGACATAGGAGGGTCCAATGCCTTGATATAACCTAGATAGATGGATGTTTGAGATGT